GGTTGTAAGAAGGTTTACTTTTATTAATTTTTTTGAATAGATAACATTAAATTTTTACCATTGTTCATTTTGGATCAGATACTATACTTGTCACTTTACGGGAATTATTTCTTTAGATGTCTCCAAACAACACCATCAGGCAGGTACCATTATTCCATTTTACAAATGAGGAACTGAGGCTCCGTGAGATTAAACATCTGCCCAACTCACACAGGTAGTAAGAGGCAGAACCAGGGCTCTAACTAAAGTTTGTGGCCTTGCATTTAGTTTCTGCTTCTCTGTGTTGAACACAGAGTGGATGTGGATTTTATTCTGAAGGTAAAGGTGTGGAGAGCATGGAAAGATTTTAAAGCATAGGAGTGACAAGTTCAGCTCTGCACAGGGTGGAGGTTTTTCTCTATTTGGTGATAGTGGAGTCGGTGGGAGGGGGTGAGTGGGCAGAGAAGATCCACTGAAGCAGTGAGGCCCACACCTCTGTGCATCATGTGCCTTCTGCGTGACTTCCCCTCTGAGCTTCCTGTATGAACTCTTCACTTGGGGTTTTCTTTTTGAGACAGAGTCTCAGTCTGTCCCCTGGGCTAGAGTACCAAGGCATCATCCTTAGCTCACAGCAACCTCAAACTCCTGGGCTCAAGGGATCTTCCTGTCTCAGCGTCCTGTGTAGCTGGGACTACAGGTGCACACCACTACGCCCGGCTAATTTTTCTATTTTTAGTAGAGATGGGGTCTCTCGCTCTTGCTCAGGCTCCTCTCGAACTCCTGGCCTCAAGTAATTCTCTCACCTTGGCCACTCAGAATAAGAGTGCTAGGATTACAGGTGTGAGTCACCACCTCGCCCGGCCTTCACTTGGAGTTTTCTGCTTAAGCATATGAACTTTGGGGTCCTTGCACACTGGACAAAATCCCTGGCCCTGGCACTTAATAGTTGTGGGAACTTGGGAAAAATACTCCGAGCTCCTAGGCTGTGAAGTGAGGATGACAAAACATCTACCTGTCTTGAAGGCTTGTTGTGGTGATTAAAAGAGGTATGAAATATAAAGCATTGTCAGTAGTCACTGAGCTTAAT